TGCACCACACTGTGCGGCCGTGCCACTGGGTGAATGATAGCTTATGTACTGCCAAAAGAGATTGACTTTGTGCAGAATCCCCAATTACGACAGCTGATGAAGGAATACGGAATGATCCTGTCAAACCCTTGTACAAACAGAGCGATGCCCAAACACGGAGAAGGTTCATTATTACTGACTACGATAGGTGGGTACTGCTTTCTACCCTCAAAGCAGAGAGTATGAATACACGTTACGGCAATTAAAGGAGATTAGGGTTATTTATCAGCTTAGAAACTACTGTCAACGATTAGAGTTTGCGAATATACATATGCTACTGGTAACCCCTAACAACTAGAGTTATTTTATAAACATTTATTAAACCTTTATTACCAACGACAAATTAAATGGAATAAAACACACAAACAATCAAATGTATACGTTATTGAACGACAAGATTTTTAAGTATTTCCGACAATTTAGAGATTGAGAATAAACCTTGGTAAGCAGCCAGATGTTAGCTATCAGTGATTGCGGCTCGACGACCTTTATTGCTATCTGCGCGCTGCACATTGCATTTATGGTATTTAAAGACGGTCTCCAGCGAGCATTTATTTTATGACTGTCTTCAGGCGGATCACATGGAGGGAAATGTTGCTATGCTTACGCATAGCCTAAAAAGTGAAGATATCGGTATAAGATTATGGCACAAACTGACGACGTTCAGATTTTTCTCAATGGTTTAGATTTCAATTCAGCCGTATTGCAAAGTAGTCCCTAATAGGTTTCCTCACTAGGGAAGAATTAAAGTGCACAATAGAAAGCTTTAAGAAACATCTTGACACGGGGGCCTCTATCTGGGAAATGTGAATAAATCAATAAGTGAAATAAAAGCAATGTTTGCTGTCCTGATGACTATTAATTATCGCGGAAATGAGAATGCCATAAATGCCATAAATTATTGAATGTGGTACGTTGCCTGCTACGCATGAACGCCAGCCCCCCACCAGCACTCCCCCACACACACACATGGACAACTACACACCACACACACAAACAACAAACACGCACGCACAATTCAAACAAACAAACAAACACACACAACATAACAACATAACAGACAAACAAACAGACAACCGCCCCAACCCCCCACACACACATACACATACATACACACACAAACAAACAAACAAACGCATACACACACACACACGCACGCCCCGCAACGCACGCAACGCACACACACACACACATACATACACACACACATACATGTACACTCACTACACACACAACGCACGACTAACGAAGTTGTTATGTTGAATCAAGCCGTTCAATTTTTTTCTAAGCATTACGCTTACGAGCTATTACCCATATAGAGTATGTTGTTGTTGAATATTCTAATTACTCGTCACTTTTCCTCATTATTTTATCTCCGTACCTCGACTGCCGCCTCATTCTCATATTGTATGGTGTCTATGTTGCATTACCGACGCGGCATTTGCCAACCTCATGTACAATAGTTAACAGCTGGCTGTCTGTTAGAAGCAGGCCATCGGTCAATAGCAGACTCGATGTGATCTGCACATCTCGATTGCTCTTTCAAAGGCTCACGGATAAGAAAAAAACGTTACTGAGAACGCATGATAGGATGGCGCGATCAATCAAGGCTGTGTAAACTGTCATTCGAATTTATAGAAACGGGCGATGGGCAGACGTGTGCGCATGTTGTCGACACTGCGCTTCTTAATGCAAATAATTTAACCTATAAGCGCGTGCCAACGTTGTCCGGTCATAATGAGAGAAACTAGTTGAAATTCTATATTCGTGCGTCATGTCCTCGGTAATTATAGGGCCTACTCAAGTGCATAATGTTAATGCGCGTGGCACGCGTTAAAGGCGCTCACAATGACATCCAAACCGCTAATTTCTCCAGTACTAGACTAACTGCAAATACGTTTGTGTCATGCCATAATCACACTACCTTATGGCCAAAATAACCTTCTTAGGTTCCTCCCATTTTCACTGCGCGTTTGCTTAAACCCACAAGAAAGAGGGTGCGAAATCTGGTAATTCTGGCCAAACAATTTAGCTCGAAGCGTGTTAGGTGACGTCACATTGTTTTTATCTTTGCTACGCACCTGCCTACCGCTGTACCGCAGCACGCTGTTACGGTTGCGCTTGCAGAGCAACGCAAAACTGTCAGCAACATCGGAGGAATTTGAACAACATTGCGAAGGGTATTTTCAAATGCCTTTTATTAAGACAAACGCGCAAGTTAGAATTGGGAGGAAACTAAGTTATGTTTGTCATAAGGTAGTATTGCATTCTGCATAGACACGAAGTATTGCTAGTCTAGTACTGCCCGAGAAATTAGCATGTAGATGCGCTAGTGCGGCCTTTAAACGGTGTACGCGCTTTTAGTTTTGATTAAAGGTTTCAGCACTCGCGCCGGCCAATGTATGTTTACATGCCGCTATGTTTGGTTCACGCAGCGGCCATGTGTTTTATCACGCGGCGGCCATGTTTTGTTCACGCCAGCTGGCCATGTTTATCACGCGGCGGCCATGTTTGTTTACGCACGAGGCCATGTTTGTTCACGCAGCGGCCATGTTTATCACGCGGCGGCCATGTTTGTTCACGCAGCGGCCATGTTTGTTCACGCAGCGGCCATGTTTGTTCACACAGCGACCATTTTGTTACACGCGCGCGCCATGTTGTTACACACAAGCCTGTGGCCTCATTATATTCGCACCCTCATATATATTCCACAATAACGCGCCTGTGACTTCCTGACATTGCTTTGTCTTCGTGACCGCATTACTGTTGACACTTAAAACAGCGCGACCGAATGGAGAAAAATGGGAAGAGCTGAAAGCGTTGCATTTAGATATTGATCTTATACTGGACGATGACGTTAATAAACGAATAAATAGACGGCGGCGTTTGTGTGTTATGTGGGCCACAAACAGTACACAGTGTCAGAGAGAAGCAGAAAGTGATGAGATACATAGAGGAGCGAGAGCGCGTCGAGAGAGAGAGCGCGCCGTTGAGAAGAGAGAGAGAGACGAGAGAGAGACTGGGGAGATGAGAGAGAGGATGGAGAGAGAGAGAGAGAGAGAGAGGAGAGGGAAGGAGAGAGAGAGGAAGAGGGAGAGGGAAGAGAGAAATTACACACGCCATGACACGACAAACCCAACCCCGCACGCACGCCTTACGCACCGAACGCACGAAACGCACGTACGCACGCACGTAACGCATCAGCGCGCGCACACACACACACACACACACACACACACACACACACACACACACACACAGAGCGAAAGAGAGCGAAAGAGAAGAGAGAGAGAGAAAGATGAGAGACGATGAGAGAGAGGAGCAGAGAGAGGAAGAGAGCGAAATAAGGAGATAAGAGAGAAGAGGAGAGCGAAAGTAGAGAGAGAGAGATGAATCGATGAGAGAGAGAAAGAGAGAGAGAGAGGAGAGAGCCTGGTGAGAGAGAGTATGAGAGAGAGAGAGAGGAGATAGAAAGAGGAGAGAAGACGTCGAGGAGCAGAGAGAGAGAGAGAGAGAGGGATGACGCTCGAGAAGCGAAGTTGAGAGAGAGAGGAGAGAGAGAGAAGAGAGATCGATGAGGAGACTGAGCAGAGGGAGAGACGAGACGAGAGAGAGAGAGGAGAGAGAGAGAGAGAGTGAGTGAGAATACGACGCTATACGGCCGAATACGAAAGAGTGAACAAACAATACAGTAAAATCTTCCACCGCGCGCCGTAGGCGCTCACATCTATACCACACAAAAAAACGAACTTTGTCTATGCAGTCCGTACTTTTTATTGATTTCGGACCCCCAAACTTGGGCACGCTTGTTAGTTTAACACCCTGATGGGTGCTATATAGCACATTTTAAAAGTCTAAAATGAAAGCTAATATCTCAAAGCAATTAAATTATTAAAAGTATGTTATAAAACATGGGCAGTTGTTATCATAAGCGGTTTATGTTGGGGTGTCTGCATTTCATCTGGATGTCTGCGATAGCGGCGCGGTGTACATGCACCTGGCAGTGCGTTACGCCAGAAATGGCTTTCGTTCTTTGATCTTGACAGGCGTTAGCTTGCGGGGATGGTGTTTCTGGAATGCCAGCGGAGTCAGTATGTCCATTTGAGAGTGCTTGGTGCTGAGAGCACTGATCAAAGCTGAGTGTAACTGTGTACGCTGTTTACTGTTACAAGTACTGTATTACGAGTTTATATGTAAGTACTCTTTACAACTGATATATCTTGATGTCATTTTCAGGCATTGCAACAGGTGAAGATATAGATAGAAGTGCATTAAGTATTAACTTTTATAAGCGTTTATGCATTTATATCAATGACGGCAATTGCTTTAAATCTTACAAATCATATTAGAATTCAAGCTGAAATATTGGGGTGCATACTCCATTAGGGGTGTTCCCAACTTTTAATGGTGATTAATGATCATCATAACATAATGATATAATATATATATATATATATATATATATACATATATATATATATTGTCATATATTAGTTTGTGGTTTAATGTCATTTAGGTTAGGTTTAGGGTTAGGGTTAGGGTTAGGGTTAGGATTATCAATCATTAATCATTAATCATTAATGATATCAAAGTTGGGAACACTCCTAATGGAGCGTTAGCCAAATATTGTGGCTGAATTTACGCTAAAAGTTGTTTCTACGCGTTTCTTCTCGAGCAACGTCGGGAACCCGGCTAGTAATTATTATATTTACATAACTTCCGTGAGACGAGGTCACGTGCTCTCGCCACGCAGCGTCTGCGTCACGGGGCGCGTCACGTTGCCACGCAACGCACAGTCAGAAGATGGCGGCGCTTGAATGCACAGCTGATGAGACGGCGAACGGAAGCAGTTTCAAGCTTCATTAGGCGTGCGCGCTCGTATATACATGCAATTTTACAAAGAAAAAATTGTTGGTATTCATCCTGGCGGCTAAGCACCCATGTCTCATTGCATTAATCTGGCAGACCCAGAACACAGCGGTGACCGGACAGCATGTGTTCGATCATCATCGAGAAACTAGGTCCATCGTAGGAAATAATTGATCTATCCGTCCGGGCAAGATACCCATGCGATCAGTAATATGTTACTGCTTGCTTAGATAAAACGAATCGGGGTTGACTTCGTTTTACCTCATGATCGAATTAAAATAATCTATTTTTATACATAGATTTAGCAGTTATTAGACATAGATCGATGGTATCTCACGCGTGCATGCCAAAATGTCTATTATATCGGAATTATCTTTAGAACGTCCTAACCTGTCAATGATTGGTTAAAGCTGGCTATCGGTCGTGTCGGGCGGATAGTTCAATTAGATTTGAACCAGCTAAAAAATGTGTAAAGTTCATATAGGTTTTAAAATTGGGATAGTATTCTATATACCTTCGTATGGCGAGTGGACCATCTGCACAAAACACTTGGAATTTCACATAAGGTTAAGTCGCATGGCTTTCCTTTAACAGAAACCCTACATTACTAACATCTGTGCTGCCAACGTCACATAAATGAATAACTATAGGGAGCCGCACTTGACGAATTCAAAGTGGAATCGCGAACGTTCTTAAAACGTAAACAAAACTCTATTAAGAGAGGTTTGCGCGTAATGTGCCTAAAAGCCGCTTTCTAATATCGCGGTTTTTTTACGAAACAGTTTAAAGGCTGTATTGGCGTCGATTCATCCTGCATAATCACGAATTGCTGAAACCACGACAGAAACAACTCGACACAACTCGACACATGCAGGTGCGTGCGATTATAATTTATAAGCCTTATCATTATCACTGTGGGTGACCCCCCCCCCCTGTTTCATATCCACGACGAATCGCGTGAAAACCTCGAGGTTGGGTTGTCTTTAATAGATCAAAATCAGTGGCAGCTGAAGGCATCATTGTAATGCATCACAATGCATCACAATGCATCACAATGCATCACAATGCATCACAATGCATCACAATGCATCACAATGCATCACAATGCATCACAATGTATCACAATGCATCACTGTAATGCATCACAATGCATCACTGTAATGCATCACAATGCATCACAATGCATCACAGCTCTTGTTTGATGAGTTGTCACCAGTGCGTCTATGGCTGCACAATTCTCGCACCCGTGCACGGCTTATAACAGCGCAGAGATTCACGCCAGGCGTTTACACACCGCTTTGCTTATTCTCTTGCTAATTTATTTCCTTCTGCCGCGTATTAATATTAATTATTCATTAGCAGATACTACGACGTGCGGCGAATATTAATTATATAAAATAGATAACTTCGTGAATATGCTTCTGTGACTGACATAACTAGCGGGATACCCGGCGTTGTCCGGGAAATAGCCCAGACAAACTCAACAACTTATATATATACTAGCGGGATACCCGACGTTGCCCGGGGAAATCAGTGGCGTTACTCAGTTGGTGACCGCTTGGTTGAAAGGAAAATACCCAAAAAATCGGACTATCCATGCATCCATCCATGCATCCATCCATCC